AGTTAGCTATAACACAAGCAGAATTTTCGAATTTTTGTCACCGGTGAGATTCGAACTCTTGACCTGCCACTTGGGAGGTGACAACTTTACCACTTCGCTATGTTACTACACCCCTAATACTAAATATATATCTAACTCTAATTAATGCTAATGCTAATAAAAATCAAGCCAATTTACATAATTACAATAATAATTTCTATACTATTACATCATAATTATTTTAAGAATAAAGCAGCAAATCTAAGTAATAATATGTTTCATACCTGTTATCTAAAAATATACATATATAATTAATTTTTTTTAGCACTTGAACATTTTTTTGATAGTAGCCAGGTTTTTTGTATAACAAGCATTTGCATTGTGACCTAATCTTATTTCACTAAAACAATTATTTTGTATATTATTGATTTGACTTGTAACTCCTTGCCTAATATTTTTTTTGACATTTTTATTGCACTTTTGATCTTTTTTTTACTTGGTGCATCTTGAATTTTTGTAATATGTAGATCATTTGTTTAATCAATTAAATGCTATTGTAAAGTGATAATACTATCCTTTGGTTCGTTAATTTTTTTTTCTTTAATTGTCATTATCAACATTTCGTTTAGCTGAAATAAAGTCTTTTAGTAATTGAACTAATTCATAATCACTTTTAGTTTCCAAAGCAACGTTAATTGTAGTTTTAGCTGTTAAAAAAGTAACTCCAAATCTATTTTTTTGAGAAGTAACCTTTTGAATGCTTGTAGGATAGTTAGAACTTTGAAACTTTCTTAAACTTTGAAGATTTAAATCTACTTGAATTGTAGTATTTATAGATAACTTTATTGCTATAAGAGATAGAAAGTTTTTAAGTTCTTGATTTAATTTTGCAAGAATATCATCTTTGTACCATCTAATCAGTATAATACTAATATGAAATCTAGTGGCACTAGAATAAAGCATAACCTGACAAAAATAGTGACAAATAATTCTTTTTGTAATCATTTTCATATATATGCATATATGGGTTCTATCATTAAAAAGAGCTACCAAATTTTCTTTACATGAAAGCCTACCAATCCTATGAATTCTCTACATTTCAATAATGTTTGATGTTTATTATTATCTAAAATAGCTTTTAAAGTTGCTTGTGGTTCGTCAACCACATCCTCTATAAAATTATTGTCTATAGTATCGAGACATAATAAGTTCTACAATAAAATAAAAAAAGTATCTTAGTTTTATATATACTATATTGCTTAATTCACAAAATAAACCATACTTCAAATATCATGTGTTCTCTTTGTCCTTCGTAAGTAAAAGATTGTGAAATTTAAAATTGCTTAAGGATAATATAAGCAGTGTCAAAAAACTAATAAGCACATTATCAATAGTT